TGTTGTTGACATTAGCCGCGGGCGCCAGGTTTGTGCGACATCCCCTGTGGGCCTCCACTGTAAGGCCCGAGCGCGGTCAGCGGAGGGCAATTAGCAGATTTATTCCAACTGATTTTCAATTCGTTCACAAACCGCCGGGAAAACAAACGTAAATTGGAGAAAACCTTGGAAAGTTTTGGCCAACGGTCATTTTCACATCTGACTGTTTGACCTTTTGTAACATGGGTTTTCTCTGCAAAAGCGACCAGATGAATTGAAGTTTGTTAACAAGACGTGATGCATTATTTATGGTCATTCTCGCGCAGGAGGAGGCTCAGGTAGAGACCTGTTCTACATAAAAGTACAATAGTTAGAGTGAAAGAAATGTCCTGCTGTACAGTGTTAAGTGTTAAGGCAGTGTTGGGACTAATACGTTCCAAAAGTAATGTCATTAATGTTATGTATTTGGATGGATGGCTTTATTAAAGACTCGTAGTCCAGAACAAAAAATAGACAAGACACAACACACTAGAAACAGTCAAAAGTCAAAAGGGACTTGTGTGTTTTTTTGTGTTTTGTTAAATATGATACTATACGTATAAAGCAGGTTAAATTATTGTGTAGAATAGGCTCAAAAAAGCATATGCTTGAACTGTGACGACCAAAATAAAATAAAATCCATCAATCAAAGCCAATAGTAGCCGCCTAGAAGTGCTTTTCCATTCTGGTAGAAGATGGCTGAGGCAGAGACAGAGGCAGAGGCAGAGACAGAGGCAGAGGCAGAGACAGAGACAGAGGCAGAGGCAGAGGCAGAGGCAGAGACAGAGACAGAGGCAGAGGCAGAGGCAGAGGCAGAGGCAGAGGCAGAGGCAGAGACAGAGACAGAGACAGAGGCAGAGGCAGAGGCAGAGGCAGAGGCAGAGGCAGAGGCAGAGACAGAGACAGAGGCAGAGGCAGAGACAGAGGCAGAGGCAGAGGCAGAGGCAGAGGCAGAGGACAGAGGCTGAGACAGAGACAGAGGCAGAGGCAGAGGCAGAGGCTGAGACAGAGGCAGTGGCAGAGACAGAGGCAGAGGCAGAGACAGAGGCAGAGGCAGAGGACAGAGGCTGAGACAGAGACAGAGGCAGAGGCAGAGGCAGAGGCTGAGACAGAGGCAGTGGCAGAGACAGAGGCAGAGGCAGAGACAGAGGCAGAGGCAGAGGCAGAGGCAGAGACAGAGACAGAGACAGAGACAGAGACAGAGGCAGAGACAGAGGCAGAGGCAGAGACAGAGGCAGAGGCAGAGGCTGAGACAGAGGCAGAGGCAGAGACAGAGGCAGAGGCAGAGACAGAGGCAGAGGCAGAAGACAGAGGCAGAGGCAGAGGCAGAGGCAGAGGACAGAGGCAGAGACTGAGGCAGAGGCAGAGGCAGAGACAGAGGCAGAGACAGAGTCAGAGGCAGAGACAGAGACAGAGGCAGAGGCAGAGGACAGAGGCAGAGGCAGAGGCAGAGGCAGAGGCAGAGACAGAGGCAGAGGCAGAGGCAGAGGCAGAGACAGAGGCAGAGGCAGAGGCAGAGGCAGAGGCAGAGGCTGAGACAGAGGCAGAGGCAGAGGCAGAGACAGAGGCAGAGGCAGAGACAGAGGCAGAGGCAGAGGCAGAGACAGAGGCAGAGGCAGAGGCAGAGACAGAGACAGAGACAGAGACAGAGGCAGAGGCAGAGGCAGAGACAGAGGCAGAGGCAGAGACAGAGGCAGAGGCAGAGGCAGAGGCTGAGGCAGAGGCAGAGGCAGAGACAGAGGCAGAGGCAGAGACAGAGGCAGAGGCAGAGGCAGAGGACAGAGGCAGAGGCAGAGGACAGAGGCAGAGACAGAGGCAGAGGCAGAGGCAGAGACAGAGGCAGAGGCAGAGGACAGAGGCAGAGGCAGAGGCAGAGGCTGAGACAGAGTCAGAGGCAGAGACAGAGACAGAGGCAGAGGCAGAGGCAGAGGACAGAGGCAGAGGCAGAGGCAGAGGCAGAGACTAAGGCAGAGGCAGAGGACAGAGGCAGAGACAGAGGACAGAGGCAGAGACAGAGGCAGAGGCAGAGGCAGAGACAGAGGCAGAGGCAGAGTCAGAGGCAGAGGCAGAGGCAGAGACAGAGACAGAGACAGAGGCAGAGGCAGAGGCAGAGACAGAGACAGAGACAGAGGCAGAGGCAGAGGACAGAGGCAGAGGCAGAGGCAGAGACAGAGACAGAGGCAGAGGCAGAGGCAGAGGCAGAGACAGAGGCAGAGGCAGAGGCAGAGACAGAGACAGAGGCAGAGGCAGAGACAGAGACAGAGTCAGAGGCAGAGGCAGAGGCAGAGACAGAGACAGAGACAGAGGCAGAGGCAGAGGCAGAGGCAGAGGCAGAGGCAGAGGCAGAGACAGAGTCAGAGGCAGAGTCAGAGGCAGAGGCAGAGGCAGAGGCAGAGACAGAGGCAGAGGCAGAGGCAGAGGCAGAGGCAGAGGCAGAGGCAGAGACAGAGACAGAGGCAGAGACAGAGGCAGAGGCAGAGACAGAGACAGAGGCAGAGACAGAGGCAGAGGCAGAGGTAGAGGCAGAGACAGAGGCAGAGAGAGGCAGAGGCAGAGGCAGAGGCAGAGGCAGAGACAGAGGCAGAGACAGAGGCAGAGACAGAGGCAGAGGCAGAGGCAGAGGCAGAGGCAGAGGCAGAGGCAGAGACAGAGGCAGAGACAGAGGCAGAGGCAGAGGCAGAGGCAGAGGCAGAGGCTGAAGCAGTGTCAACAATATTTCCAAGATGGACAGACTTTCACTATTTTGAGTTCTTTGGAATCAGAATCAGAATCATTTTTATTGCCACGTAAGTAACAAAGTTACCACTTGGAAATTGTTTTGGCAGAGAGCGTGCCACTTCGCCATTTGCGGCGCTGTGGCACACAAACAAGGATGTGTGGAATGTATTGTGAAAGTAGCTCCACTTTTGCAACATCTGTAATAACCTTTTATAGATTCCTTCTTTACGAACAGTTTTTAAAGAGAATGTGGTCTTACACTGTCCTCAAGAAATCCATTTATACAACGCTTTTAACACTAATTACTTTGACATTTCATTTATTAAATGTGAAATAATTCCTCAAGTCGGAGACGTATGGTTCTGCAAGTTTAATGGCAGAAAAATAATAACTGTCTCTGGCGTTAACACAAGAACTCTCAGAGCAGTCGATTTGACGGCTTTTTGTTTTAGAAATGTAATCAGGTCATTCACACATTCTGTCTTTATAACTGTGACTTTTTATTTATGTCATTATTTTTATGAATTCTACTTGTTTTTTGCTTTTTGTGAAATTCTACTGTTTCCATTCAGTGGTATTTTTCATTTCCAAGTTTTATGACCCAGTTTTAGCAGTAAGTCTGTTTTTATTTATTTATGTAATGCCTTTCACAGATCAGAGTCACAGAGCTCTTTACAATTGTTGTTTCTTGTACGTTTTGTCTCTCACTCCACACAGAGATGGGAGCGGGTCGCCGTACAGGAGGCAGGGGAAACCGGAGCACCCGGAGGAAACCTACACAGACACGAACATGCAAACTCCACAAAGAATGGTCTGGAGGTGGAATCAAACCCAGGACCTTCTTACCGTCGTGCCGCCCACGTAAATACTGTAGATACTGATGTTTCCAGAATTCCAATGATTTGAATGAGAAGATTACTTTTTGGATTCCGGCAAGAAAGTCCAAAGTGATGACAATAGTAAAATTTTTCAGCTTAGTACTTTCTAAGATTCTAAAAATAGACACTTTAAAGATGATAAAAAACCAGGAAGTGTTTTAATAAAATTCTTGGGGGTCGTGCATGGTCCAACTGAACTAATAACACAATAGAGAGATAATATTAGCAAAGCATTGTATATAATAACTTTTTTTCAATGATTCGGTCTCAGTGCAGCCGTGTGAGAAAGACAAATGGACAAGAGTTGCACAAAGCGGTGTGCTGATCTAATTCATTATTTTTATCTTGTAGCGCTCATGCTAATAGGTGCTAACAGAATCATAATAAATAATGCATGATCAAGTATGCTAACACAGGCTTTGACAAATCTGTGCAGCTGACGTCGCAAACATGGACTTAATCTACAGACGGCTCACTGTTTACGTCTGCGTGATTCATTTCTATTTATTTTAATTAAAAACATTCTTTGGAAAGTTGTTAATGAATTCTTTGCGGCTCATACAAATAGATTGTTTATTATGCTAAAGATAGAGACTTCATACATCATTCTTGCTTCTTCATTTTGCTAAAGTTGGAGGTTTTTGATTTCTTTCATTGTGATGCTGAAGCTGCCATACGGAGGTCTCCTTCTAACACACACCGGTCCATGCTTCCAGCTGCTGTTCGTGCCGCAACTCACCTCCTCCCCATCACCACCTCATCAGTGGAGGAATCATCATGTAGTGGGCTCAGATTCAATCATTGAGTGTCTCAAATGTGATAAATGCGTATTTTAAATGCGTTTTTGTCTTGAGTCTCCAGATTTGAAAAGTTTAGAGTTGTTATTGTTAGTCAGAATTGTGCTAAAACCTTTGTCTAAACGTGTAGGTTAAACAAATTGCACTTAATGTAACTCTCTAGGTTCTGTCTTGCCTGAGGACACCACAACAATTTGGCACTTTACAGCCACAGCCGCCCCACTGTGGTACCAGGTGTTCCCAGAGGTCTCTCATCACAGCACTAACCAGTCCCTGCCCTGCTTAGCTTCACAGGTCTGACTTTCATATGTAGGTACGCAAACATTCAAGCACAAAGTCTCACAATATTTCTCATTTTTCTTGTACTTTTGACGTGCCCATTTCTACCCATCTTCTTCCCCTTAATCAATTTCTGGATCAAAGTGGGGTTAAGTGTCTTGCCTAAGGACACAACGGCAGCAGACATCCGTGTGATTCTAAGTAGGTCTCGTGGTAGGCTCGAACCCACGACCTTCAGGCCCAATGCTTTCCCAACTAAACCACTGTCGCCCACGCCCAGTTCTATTGTAAGCTAGTTATTATCACTGACCTGTGATGTAGCAGGTGACCAGGCGGTTCTCCATGGAGATGTCCCTGTCCGTGGTGGTCATGGTCAGAATCACCTCGCCTGGTTCGCTGTTTTCCACGATGGAGCCCTGATAGACGTCTTCCGTGAACTTGGGCGGATTGTCGTTCTCGTCCGTCAACGTGACTTCCACCAACACGCTGGACGAGAGCTTCACCTCGCCGCCGTGGTCCGTGGCGATGACGTGGAAGCGGTAAAGTCTGATGGATTCGCAGTCCGCCTCCCGCATGGTGGTGATCCAGCCGCTGTCCGGGTCGATGCTGAAGACGCTGTTGATGTCTTCAGGGTCGTCAGAGAGAGACTGAAGGCTGTAAGTCACTAAGCCGTTGGAGTCGGTGTCCGGGTCGTTCGCCGTTACCTACAATAGACGTTCATCGAGCAAAGTTAATACAAAGGTGTCTTTCTCGTCTTTAGCTCCCACTGGTTTGGGAGTACTGGGACTAAAGAAAATGTGAGGGGTCTAAGTACAGGGGTCTAAGGACAGGGGTCTAAGAACAGGGGTGTAAGAACAGGGGTCTAAGAACAGGGGTCTAAGAACACGGGTCTAAGTACAGGGGTCTAAGAACAGGGGTCTAAGAACACGGGTCTAAGCACAGGGGTGTAAGAACAGGGGTCTAAGAACACGGGTCTAAGCACAGGGGTGTAAGAACAGGGGTCTAAGCACAGGGGTGTAAGAACAGGGGTCTAAGTACAGGGGTCTAAGAACAGGGGTCTAAGAACAGGGGTCTAAGTACAGGGGTCTAAGAACAGGGGTCTAAGAACAGGGGTCTAAGAACAGGGGTCTAAGAACAGGGGTCTAAGTACAGGGGTCTAAGAACAGGGGTCTAAGAACAGGGGTCTAAGATCATGGGTCTAAGAACAGGGGTCTAAGGACAGGGGTCTAAGAACAGGGGTCTAGACACTCTCTTTATTCTGTTCGATCTCCGCAGGAAGGTCTTTGCTGTTCCCTGCTGCAGACAGAGTTCATGTGGGGGTGGTCTCTGAGCCGTGAGACATCGTGAAATAAGGCGTAAAATAAGGAACTATAAACTAAGAACTGAATTCCGTCTGGGAGCTTCTGTCTAAACATATTTTCTGTGATCTGAGTGATCACTCACATCTACATTCTCAATATTACTCTCTAAGCGCTGACTCTCTTTAATGGAAAAACCTCCCACAGACTTCTCAAGGGTCAACTCCCACTGCGTAAAAAATAGGAATTTCAAGGTCTTTGATATTGTAAAAGTTTGTAACTGTAAAAAGTTCTGAAAGTTGGAGAATGTTTGTATAGGACAAAGTACAGGACTGCTTTGTGACTTTAGAAGACACATTTGAGAACCAGAAGTTGTTTTAACCCTTCTATTTTAACATGTTCCTGTCTCTCCTGTGCTGAAAAGCTGAGGCGGGTTCACAAAACACACCAACCTTTCTTGCTGTTGTAGCGGGCCAACAAAAACATCGATCAAAAACAAAATGGCCACAATGGGAAAAGCCTATAGATGCGTAATGTCTGTTCTGTTTTCACTCAATGGGAATATCATTGAGTTGGCACAAACCCCACTCACTGTCTTTTAAACTAACCAAATTCATAATCATTCCGTCCCAGTTTTAACAGATCATTTCTCACCTGTATGACGGTGGTCCCGGCCGGCATGTTCTCCGCCAGATAAGCTCTGTATGGACTTGCATCAAACACCGGCTGATTGTCGTTCACATCTTGGACTTGGATACTGACGGAGACCAAAGACGCCACGTCGGTCCCGTTGTGGTTCCCTTGAGCCACGACGTCTATCTGATACCATTTCGTCTTCTCGTGATCAATGGTCTTCTGCAGGACCAATGTGCCACTTTCTTCATCCACGCTAAATACTTTATCCTTGTTGCTTTCAACCGTATTGCCATCGACAAGACTATATATCACAGGCATACCCGATTTGGTTTTAACTTTTCCAATTTCTGACCCAACAGGTGTATCTTCCATTGCCGAAAATCTATACAGTGGTTCAGAAAACTTTGGCAAAGGCACTTCTGGAGGCACGACTTTCACTTGAACTGGAACGGTTGTGTTGTAAAACGGCAAGCTACCATCCCTGGCTTTTACTTTGAAATTGAATATTTTGTTCTCCATTCCCACAAGACTTTCCTTGACGCTAACCAGCCCTGTGAACGGATTGATTTCTATGATGTCCTCGGTAACTTCTCCCGCTTCATCAACCGTGTATGTTACGTCAGCGTTTTTACCATCGTCCGCATCATAAGCAATGATCTGAATCACTGGCGCCCCCTTGTTGACCGTGGACTGAATCGCAACTTGATATTCTGCAGCTTTGAATTGAGGGACATTGTCGTTTTCGTCTATTAGAATGATCCTCACAGTGCAAAAGGCGACTCTACCACCGCCGTCTTTGGCCATGACTTTGATCGCAATAACTCTTTGGGATGGGTTTTCTCTGTCCAACGGCTGTGTTGTGACGATTTGCCCGTCTTGATTGATTGTAAATTTGTCATCTGCCAGTTTATTGATGATGGTATAGTCTACGGCTCCATACTGACCCTCGTCTGGATCGATAGCAGCTAGCCGGATCACCCTTGTCCCAGCGTCTGCGTTCTCGGCTAGCTCTGCTTCATAAATGTTCTGCTTAAAATATGGACTGTGTCGATTTCTATTTATCATATCAATATTCACAGGGGCTGTTTTCTGAAAGACGCCATCGGACACGGCTACTGTTAAATTATAGTAGCGATGCAAGTTCCCTTTGCAAACATTTGACAGTGAAATGATCCCAGAAGATTCGTTGATGCTAAAGTACCTCCCTTCGTTCCCAGACAGGATTTTATACTTGAGATTGCTTAGATCATTTGCGTCTTTATCCAAAGCTTGGATTTTCACGACTATGTGTCCGCATTTTGCCATTTCGTCGAGTGTTGTCTCATATTGAGCGTTGACAAAATCAGGTGGATTGTCGTTTACGTCTGTGACATTTACAAAAACAAACGTTTCACTGCTCAAGGAGGAAGTTCCATTATCGCTTACTCGAACTTTCAAATCAAAATGTGTTGTATCTTCATAGTCCAGGATTCCTTTGATAGAAATTAGTCCACTTTTCTTGTCAATCTCAAAAAAGTCAGTTTCGTTCCCTTGTGTTTTAACCAAATGATATGAAAGATCTTTGTTCCGCCCCGAGTCCATATCCGTTGCCAAAATCTGCAAAACAGACGTTCCAATTGGCAAACCCTCAGCAATGCTTACGGAATACGATAGTTTTGAAAATACAGGTGCGTTATCGTTCACATCTTCAACTTCGACTTCTATCGTAGCCTCAGAATACGCTCCTGTGACTGAATCGCTCGCTCGAACTGTCAAGACGTGCCTTTTTTGGCTTTCGTAGTCCAGGGGGTTCGTAACAGTCAAGATGCCGGTTTTGAAATCGATATGGAAGTTTTTCGTCACGTTTTCTTCTTGGAGATTGTAGACGAGGCGAAACCCTTCAGGATTACGAGCTTGGACGTGCAAAATGGTGGCAAACAGTGGGACGTTTTCAGGGACTTTCAGAGGATATAGAAGAGTCTGGAAAATGGGATTGGTCCGATTGCGGATTTGGATGGAGAGGTGAGAGGTTGTGCTGTAGCTGGGATCGCCTTCATCGGTTGCTACGATTGTCAAAACATATTTATTCAAAGCTTCAAAGTCAAGAGGCCTTCGAAGGGAGATGTCGCCAACGGTCGGATCAATTCGGAAGAGTTCAAAGTTGTCTTCTAGCGAATACACAACCACCGCATTTTCACCAATATCTTTGTCAAGGGCTGTCGCTTGGTACAAAACATCTCCTGGTTCAACGTCATCAGAAATCATGGCCGAAAAAGGCAAATTCAAAAAATAGGGTTTGTTGTCGTTCAAGTCATCAATATAGACTTTCACCAGAGTGGTCGCAGTTCTTGGAGGAGCACGGAAATCTTCAACTTTGACAATTACATCATAAACATCTTGAGTTTCTCGATCGAAGGGAACTCCAGTGCTTTCAAAAATACCAGATGTTTTTGAAATTCTAAATCTCCCGTTTGGATTGATGACATTGTAAACAAGAGGTTCATTTAGGTAGCACCCAGTAACTTTGAGGGCAGCTAAAATCTTAGAGTTTTGGCTATTTTCGCTAATATTTGACGCATAAACTCGTTGCTCAAATTTCAAATCAGTTTCAGTGAAGTTCGTCAATGTTATTTTTACAATGGTGGAGTCTTTGTACAACCCATCGCTCGCTCTCACAACTAGCTGAAAAAAATGCTTGAAATCGCTCACATTCTCAACAGAGATGAGTCCTGAGTTTTGATCTATTGAGAAAGCATGGTCAAGATTGCCGTCCGCGATGCTATAGACCACTGTTGAGTCCTCATCATGTGCAGTGACTCGAACCACCTCTGCTTTGCTGACAGCTGGAGCCATGATGGATGCCTTGTACAGTGGGGAAGTGAATTGTGGCGGGCAATCGTTTACATCCTGGACTCGAATTGTAACATTCGCAGGCTCCGGTGCGTAAAGCATTGGCTCTCCAGAATCTTTGACATGAACCGTGAACTCAAACGTGGCCTTGCTTTCAAAATCAACAGCAGAGATCAAAGATATCGTCCCCATACTTGCATCTATCTTGAAATATCTCAACGCCTCTTCCTCCAGGATTTCAAAAACTAGCTGGGAATTAGTATCTCTGTCTGCGTCTGTAGCTTGAATGACTAAGGGGGCATTATTTTCTCCCATAACAAGGCTATTCACGTCAGCTGCTTCGCTAATTTGCCCAAAGTATTGATTTTTCACAAATACAGGAGCATTGTCGTTCTCGTCAACCACATAAACGTAAGCAAAGGTGTTGGATACCGCCCCAGCATTGGTTGAAGCTGTAATTTTGAGCTTATAAGTAAAGCAACGCTCAAAATCAATATGTTTTTGGGTAGAAATTAGACCAGTGTATGGATTTATATGAAAAGTGCCATTAGAATTGTCGTTTTCGATGCTGTAATGAACTGCAGTGGGGCTGGAGGCGGATATGGAGATGACCGGAGTTCCCGTTGGGCTGAATTCGCTGATTTCTGCTATAAAGTCTTCCGATGAGAAGATGGGCGGAGTGTTTTCTGAAATGCGGAGGTCGACGTGGACGGAGCAGAGGTCGCTGCGTTGGGGGAAGCCCTGGTCCGTGGCTTTCACTGTGAGATGGAACTGGTGGAGGGGCTGCAGGTCCAATGGTTTGGCCACGGAGATGGTGCCAGAGTTGGAGTCAATGGAAAAGACGTTGCCGGTGTTTCCTAAAAAGAACGAAAAACGTGTTAGATGGATTGTGTGGGAATCTAAGACAGAAGGATATTTACAGACCCACAACTAATGAAAGAGGCTTGGTCGTCACTTCAGACTTTTCACACTCACATTGTTCCTCATCAAAAGCAGACCGTGAGTTGTTGGAGTTTGATCCGTCCACTTTAATATCAAGAACTTCTGCTTTACAATATCATGGCATAAAAAAAAAAAAACATATTGTCTGCCATAAATACCCCAAAAGTGTCTTCAGTCTGAGGTTCCTTGCAGTACTTTGTAAAGTCTTTCATGAGGTGAAATTTACACATTTTTCACGTCACAGATTGAGGGATTTCTTTAAAATCTGAGGAAGATACGGGTTTGTTTACTCTTGTCTATTTAATGTTTAGTACTTTGCTCATTAGTGGAGCTGTTATGGCTCACATGGGCTTTTTGTCTGTGTATTTGTCCTATTTTCTAATTAATAAACTCATTCTTTGATTGATTCAAACTCTGGCTTGTTTATATTCTTTTCAAGTAAACGTTTAGTCGAAGTTAAAACCATTAATTCAATCACATGATGTCTTTCCGGCCCCGGGCCACAGTCTGGATTGCACTATTTCAAACAACATTAAGATCACTTATCCAACTTTTCCCAAACTTTTTCTTCGTAAAGACCTCAATCTTACAATTAAAGTTTGACAATCTGTAATCATTGTGTGTTGTACCTGCGTGTTTCCACTTTTGAGAAATGTCTTCAACGTGTCAATACAGGAAATGTTATCCAGATGGCTCAATCATCAATCACAATTTAGAAATAGTTTGGATCGGATTTATATGGGCAGACTTGTTTTTGGTTTCTTCTTTCACCGTAAAGAAATTTAAGAAATTTAAACTAGGCATATGTAAGATTATTATGTCAAGTCATCAATAAAGGTCCCTAATCTGTCATCATTAAAGGGCCCTTATCTGTCATCATTAAAGGGCCCTTATCTGTCATCATTAAAGGGCCCTAATCTGTTATCTTTAAAGGGCCCTAATCTGTCATCATTAAAGGGCCCTAATCTGTCATCTTTAAAGGGCCCTAATCTGTCATCATTAAAGGGCCCTAATCTGTTATCTTTAAAGGGCCCTAATCTGTCATCATTAAAGGGCCCTAATCTGTCATCTTTAAAGGGCCCTAATCTGTCATCATTAAAGGGCCCTTATCTGTCATCATTAAAGGGCCCTTATCTGTCATCATTAAAGGGCCCTAATCTGTTATCTTTAAAGGGCCCTAATCTGTCATCATTAAAGGGCCCTAATCTGTCATCTTTAAAGGGCCCTAATCTGTCATCATTAAAGGGCCCTAATCTGTTATCTTTAAAGGGCCCTAATCTGTCATCATTAAAGGGCCCTAATCTGTCATCTTTAAAGGGCCCTAATCTGTCATCATTAAAGGGCCTTATTCTGTCATCATTAAAGGGCCCTAATCTGTCATCATTAAAGGGGCCTAATCTGTCATAATAATAAACTGCTCTTTTCCAATCCTTCTTTAACTGATAACTGTAGTTCAGAGATATTTGAATTTCTAAATTACTTTTCCAGCCTCTAAATCTTGTTATTGTTTTCATTCCGATGTCCCGCCCTCCACCGTTTCACCAATCAGAAAGTCTGTGATCCGGGCGCCAGAACTCACCGCATGGAGCTAATTTCACTGGTAAAGTACCATGTGGCACAGAACTAAAAAAGGTCTCGTTATGATTCTCAAATCATTAACGACAAAACAAGGAATAAAAGCAGGATTTCTATCTTTGTGAAAAAGGTGTTGGTTATAGATTTGTTGTTGACAAAACTCTTGTCTATTCAGCTGTTATGGTCCCAGCTGGATTCGTCTGCATATCTGGCAACCTGAGTCAGGGACAGTGGGAGAGGCTGCAGTACCACTTTTGTGTGTATCTTAAATCAAGCCCATTTTGACTGCCTTGGAACAGGCAACTCTTGTTTTATAAAGATACAAGAAATGTCTCCCTTGGAATGAGAAAACAAAGCCTGTAGACTATTTGAATCTGGTTTTAACAAAGTCAGAATGTACTTAAAATACAGATAAAAACCACTGGATTTACGCTTTTATTACCTCATGTTTAACACTTTTTTACAGTGCGGTTGCTGTATTTATGAACGTTCCCACATTTCTTACTTCCTCCGGTACATCCTGACCTTTGGAGACACTCGCACGATGCTGATCTATATTCCACGGTGGTGTGAGAGCCTTACTACATGCGTGTGATCAAAGAAGCAGAGAAAAACCATGTGGAATAAACCAGCACATTCTGACCGGGGCCTTTGCACGGCATAAAAATAAATAAAAACAACGTTAAGCTTGCTCAGTGGATTTTCAACCCAGGCTGCATCCATCTTAACCCTCTTCTCACCGTAACCTTTAGAATTAAAACGTGCAGAAAACTTCCAATGTGTTTTCAGACAAGATGCATTATTTATTAGGTAAGACGGGGGAAAACCAACATGGAGGCGAAGCGACCAGGAGGGTTTGAGGAGCAGACACATGGTACAGTCGGGGGCAGTAGCAGATTATCGCTGCTGTTTACAAGTACAAACATGTGTTGTGTGTGAAGCCGGTGAAAAACAAGACCATGAAGCGAGACGACCTGCGGGAACGGAATATTTACATCTGCTGCGACGCATTGTTGTCATTTTTTATATGTTCATTCCAGATTCTGGGTCCAATTGTTCACAGAAATGGGATCTTTATGTCTAGAAGTTTGGTCACAGTTAGGCCCTGTTTATACTGAGACGCTGCGCAGACGTTTCCAGGCTATTAACAGAAACGACCTGGCTCCTAATGCAAATTTCTCAGCGTTCACATGAGGTTGAAATACGATGTAGTTCTAGCGCCCGGCCAGTAGGGGGCAGAGAAACTTTACAACACTCACACGACCCCCAGCCCCCCCCCCTCTCGGCAGTGTACTCACTTCCTGTGCCAGACCCTCAGAAAGTACCAACATCATTCTGCATTTTAACAGCAGCTGTGAAAATGGAAACTGAACCTAGAGCTTCGCGTGGTCTCGTTTGGACGAACGAAGGAGTAGAATTATCCTCTGTGCCGCGCTGGAAGCCCACGAAGCTAGTTAGTGCGCGGGGCGCCATTTTTGTTTTCGTTTGTTCTCCGCTACTGCACATGTCCAAATGTACGTCTGGGGAGCAGCAGGAGGTGGGGGTCAGAGCAGAGGGGGATTTCACACCTTTTCCCTCTCGCGGGTGTGAAAGAGCCCCCGCTGTGCAGCGTATCTGAGCTGTCCCACTCTGAGGCTGGATCTGAACACTTACGTTTTCACCTGGAACACAGTCTTCGTATGAACGCTTGGTAGCAACCGACATCCAACTATACCGTTTTACTGCCACATTGTCTCCGTGTAAACTCAGCCTTAGTTTAGCCCTCACTAATTAACAGCTAATTAACAGCTAATTAACAGCTAATTAACAGCTAATGAAGTGGTAATCATCAGAGGACTTAACATAACCCTTGAAATCACCAACACAGATCAAGAAACAACATTAAGACACAGGAAATAGACAAATGAAAGCTGAAGCGTAATTCAGACCTGAAAGACCTAGCCACAGCTGGCCGATCGGAAGGCCAGTATTCTATCGAAGTCATCAAAACTCTAAAATCCTAATCACCTACATACTAAGCATAAGAGAACAAAATGTTTGAAGAGTGTCGAAAGAGGAAAGAAAACGTCGGATTGAACTGAACAACTTGATTGTTGAATTTGAGGCAAAGACACACTTAATAAAAGCTAAACAAATGAAACTGAAGACAACAAGAAAGCTCGGGACAGTAAAGATAAACAGTGGATGGACAATTCTCACAGGCTACATGAACCACAGACTCAGAACACTCTGAAACACACAGATCCATAATCACAGCTGCCTGCATTTACTCAAGAAATTCCACTTCGAGAACACACAGAAGTTAGAAGGAAAAAGTATTAACATCAATGACTTTTCAAGTATTGATCAAGAAGAATCAAACCAATCAATAAGATGTGTCCTGAATGGTCTATTGGAGGAGACCTGAGTACAGACCATGGCAGAACACAGACAGTCGAGGTCATGGAGAACTGCCCCACAATCCAAGATGGCACATCCTTGGATTTCGAAACTAGAAGGAGATTTCGTGGGGACAATTTCCTTGCTATGGGTGATATCAGAGAACTGTTGCCGACACTCCCTGTGATGTGCCATGAGAAATCTTACAGAGAAGCTTAGCTACAATCACTAATATGAAGACATCAGAATATGATGCAGAGCTTTTTGCCTGTAACAGAGGTAGAATGTGGAAAGCATTGAAGGAGTATTTTCCCACACACATACATCCGATAATGTCCAGAATGAACCATCTGGACCAGAAGAGAATGCAAGAGTATATGTGTCCCAGAGCGTACAGACTGAGAAACATTACAGGAGAAGACCCGAAGTGCACCTCATGGGCAATCGATCCTGAGAGCTAAGATAAAAGGCAGGACGGCCACTGCCAGTGAGGAACAAAACTGGATAAGTATTGTCTTGGGAGTATGACAAAAAGCCTCTAACTGACAATGTTGCACAGCAAGTGGACCTCCTAGAGAGAAGGATAAGCGTCAAAGAAAAACAAATCAAGACCCAGTCAGAGAACTGAATAAGATTAAATTTTCAAATATCTGTACTGAAAGTCAGGCTGCTGTAAAATCACACATCAGCATGGATTAAGACACTGTTAAAATAACGACAAAACAACTTTTTCTAAATTCCTATGCATAGATTCAAGATGCTACAGTACTGAACATCAAAGAAATACTAGAATAAAGAATTGATTTAATCTGAAACCAGAGAATTGAATAAAGTTTTAATAAAGTTTCTATGATTATTTGTGAATTTACTGTACGCCTCCATTTTCCAAAGTGAGTGAAATTGACCACAGGTGCGTTTGGAGCGATCCTGGAGAAGAAGAATAACATTCATTTGCAACAACCCTGCTGTCGAGAGGTCAAAGTACGATGAGACCTCCCTCACAATAATCATTAATATATTGGATTAAATTTGTGAGATAGAATATATAAAAATATAAGCGAAAAGAAAGATAGAATTTGCCAAATAAACTTGAGAATAACATTGGGAAAAATTAGTTGAAATGTAATCATAATATTTGGATCCGAATGAAGGATTATAAAAGGTTTCAATAATCTGTTGTTGAAAGATGAAAGTTATTTATTAAAATCACATTAGTGAAAAGTTTTGAAAGTGTATTTTGAACAATATACATAATGGTTGGATGAATCATATGTGGAATATATTACATGAGATTATCCACATCTGTTTTCAGATAAGAAGAGTCATATCAAAGATTTGTAAGGAGTTTGTTTACAGTGGTCACGTCTGCACAGCAGAGGTTGTTAACAGAGCATATATACAGATAGCCATAGAGATTAATCAATACTAGAGTCACATTAAAGACTGATTAGATTTTGATCTGATCACAAATGATACATTCCTCCTGTACTTTCACAGGCCCTGGTCAGTCTGTGATGGGAGACCACAGTGGGGCGGCTGTGAAGTGCCAGACTGCTGTTGTGTCCTTGGGCAAGACACTTCCCCCACATTAGAATGAGTCTGGTGTGTTTTTCTCTCTCGCTGACTTCACTTTTGTGTCTCAGGCATAAACGCTGAGGTGCGCTACTCTCTCGTTTCCGGGGACGACGGCTTCTTCTCTTTGGACGAGTTTTCCGGAATCCTGCGTCTGGAAAAACCTCTGACGGCCGAGAGTCCGTCCAGTTTTCAGATCAAAGTCAAAGCCACAGACAGGTGAACTTTGAAGAAAACTCTGATTTTCTGTCCTGCCCAACGGCTGTGATAAAGGTGGTTCCCAAACTTTTGCTTCAAAGAGACATCAAAGAAGTTACAAAAGTACTTCATAGATACTTTATTGATCGATACTTTATTGAGAAATCCAGATGTCCAGCAGCAGAAACACATCAATCCAAACAAACAAATAAAAACATAATTCTAAAAGTTACTAACGGTAGTCACAGCAGCAGGAGGTGCAGCAGGAGGTGGTGTCTGCTGAGTCTGTTTGGAGCAGACCATTTTCTCTGCTCTGGTTCAGAGTGAAATTCCGAATGCCTTTTTATTATTTATCAAAATATATGATTGTTCCTCCAGTGGATTTACACTCGATCTGGTGGTTTCAGACCGACATCCTCTGCTCTGCTCTGGATCAATGTAAAACCATGAAGACAAGTGTTAGTTACCATAGCAACACGGTTGACTGTTAGCAATTAGCGTTTAGCCTATCAACAAACTGTTATTCTGTAATTCGAGTTATAAAGACCTGTTTTAGCACTGGACAAAAGGTAAAAACTGCATGAAATCCTGATGAAATCCTGATGAAATCCTGATGAAATCCTGATGAAATCCTGATAAAATCCTGATGAAATCCTGATTAAATCCTGATGAAATCCTGATGAAATCCTGATGAAATCCTGATAAAATCTTGATGAAATCCTGATGAAATCCTGTCCCAAAATCAGTTGTGTGAGATTGTTCTTCAGAGTTCCCGAGTCCTTCTGTTAAACTCTTGCCTCTAACCCGTCTCCTCACAGGGGTCTTCCTCGGCAGCGGCACTCGGAGACCACGGTGCAGGTGGAGGTGGTCTCTCTGGACGATTATCTGCCGGTGTTCTCCCGACGCGAGTACACGGCCCAGCTCCCAGAATCCTTTGCGGTCGGCTCCAAGATCCTGAGTCTGTGGGATTTGTCCAGAGACGGCGACGGACCGATCGCCGAGTACCGCATCACGTCGGGCAACGAGGACGGGCACTTCCACCTGGACAGAAACACAGGTCAGTCAGCTCGGCTCGCACAAGCATCATCAAAGCTCCCCGCGTTGCCGTGGCGATGGCAGAAACTCACCTGTTTATGCAAATGGGAAAAATCAAACCTCTCAGATTCCTCCCACAGAGAAATATGTTCATTATTTGCACTTGTTTGGTTTTTTATCTAATGCACTTTGATGAGAATGGTCTTGTAACCAAGGTTCTAAAATACCGGGATATTTGGACTGGTCCGAGGCGGGATTTGGACTGGATTTGGACTGATTCTGGACTGATTCTGAACTGGTTCTTGACTGGTTCTTGACTGGTTCTTGACTGGTTCTTGACTGGTTCTAGGCTGATTCAGGACTGGTTTTGGACTGATTCTGGACTGATTCTGGACTGGTCCCTGACTGGATTTGGATTGATTCTGGGCTGGTTCTGGGCTGGTTCTGGGCTGGTTCTGGGCTGGTTCTAGACTGGTTCTGGGCTGGTTCTGGACTGGATTTGGACTGGTTCTGGGCTGTTTTTGGACTGGTTTTGGACTGATTCTAAGCTAGATCTGGACTGGTTTTTGACTGGTTCTGGGCTGGTTCTAGACTCGTTCTGGGCTGGTTCTGGACTGGATTTGGACTGGTTCTGGGCTGTTTTTGGACTGGTTTTGGACTGATTCTAAGCTAGATCTGGACTGGTTTTCGACTGATTCTGGACTGGTCCTGGACTGGTTCAGCTTGGTTTTCCACCAGAGAAGAGCAAGTGCTAACTTTCCCTGGGAATTAATGAGAATTTAAGGGAATAAACTGGGAATTTACACATTTTAAGGTTGGTTCTTCATAGGTTTTTATTTAATCACAGTAAAAACAGTGAAGGTACAAACCAGGTTAAAACTCCTCAGACTCATCAGTGCAAACTGCGATCGAGAATTACAGAACAAAAAAAAGACACAGATTTTTCCTTTTTAACTTTCCTGCCACAGACACATATTTTGTACACACACACGCACGCACCACACACACACACCCCCCCCACACACACATACCACACACACACACACACACACACACACACACACACACACACACACGCACGCACCACACACACACACCCCCCCCACACACACATACCACACACACACACACACACACACACGGACAAAAAAATATATATATATACAATAAGACCGGTACCAGTAATAATAATTAACAATTAGTAAAATCTAATCACTCCCATAAGAAATATCCACAGATTTTTGTGTGAATATTTGACGGCTTTAGAGATTTAACATTACTATTATTATCATTACTCCACGTATTGTCAGGCTACATCTGTGTCTGTGCACGGACACGTCGACAGAACCTGCCGTGGAGCGTTTGAAGAAGTATTAAAGTGATTTGTGTTAGATCTGAGACGATTTAACAGAAAGTATGACAACAAATCCAAACGAGTTTATCTGTATCTGAGGAATGTGCTTTTATCTGCTCCTGGTTCAGAAAAAACCATTACAGAACCGCACCCTCTCCTCGCGTTGGTACTTCATCTTTATGCACCAACGAGGCTGTGGCTTTACTCAAAGGTAAAAACCACATTTGTTCTTCGTAGATTTCAGGGGGTGCAAAATAGGGATCATAGGCTTAAAACAAGCTTTGGAACGGTCCGAGGCGGGTTTTGGACTGGTTTTTGTCTGATTCTGGCCTGGTTGTTCTGGACTCGTTTTGGACTGTTCTTGGACTGGATTTGGACTGATTCTGGGATGGTTCTGGGCTGGTTCGTGACTGGTTCTGGGCTGGTTCTTGACTGGTTCTGGGCTGGTTCTGGACTGGTTCTGGGCTGGTTCTAGACTGGTTCTGGGCTGGTTCTGGGCTGGTTCTTGACTGGTTCTGGGCTGGTTCTGGGCTGGTTCTTGACTGGTTCTGGGCTGGTTCTAGGCTGATACTGGACTGGTTTTGGACTGGTTTTGGACTGGTTCTTGGCTGGTTCTGGATAAATCTGTACAAAAAATAAAATAAAATCTCTAGCTCTAGCATAATACAGAAGCAGTCTAAGTGTATCTGTGGCCGTCCGAGTGTGAAACATGTGTCCCCTCACTTGTGTCTGTGTAGATTTATAAGAATCAGAATACATTTATTTGCCATTTGCAGAAAAAACTACATTGTAATACCATCAGGAGACACCGGGGGCACCAACACCACAAAGCACACACACAGAATCAAAATAGCGAGACACAGTGAATCACATATAAAACTCTTAAAAGCATTATTAAGACGCTACGATGGAGGAGCTACAAGAGAAACAGATCTCAGGACGCTCTGTTCAGTCTTATAACCGCCTGAGGAAGATGCTATTGGCATGGCGGGTGGTCCTGCACCGCACGGACCGGAAGAGGCTGGAACAAGGCCGCTCCAGGATGACCAGAGGAGTCATTTACGATCCTTAGGGCTCGGTTTAAGAGTCTGCTCTCAGACGGAGCCTCCAGAACGGGCTTCTCACGGTTCACAGTCCTCCGAGCAGAACCACTTTGATCAGAGCTCTCTTTTCTTTGGCAGTGATGTTGCCGAACCACACGGTGATCGCACCAGCATCAGGCTTTCTATGGTGCAGTGGCAAAAGTTCAGCAAAATCTGAAAGTTATTTGTAAATTCTCTAAGTTTCCGCAGAAAGTAAAGACGTTGGCGAGCTTTCTAAACAGTATAGTTGGTGTTTTTGTCCCATCTCAAATCGTTGGACAAAGTTAGACCAAGAAACTTACAATCCTCAACAATCTCCACCTGAGAGTTTTCAATGACCACAGGAGAGTGGGAGAGGGAGTGACCACGACTGAAGTCCAACACCAGACATGAGACATTACATTCTTTCGTTGCCTGTTACATATTTAAACAAACTCAGAGTGGTACATGTCATAAAAAGGCCAGAACATAGAACACTGAACGAAGGCCACGACACAAAGCATCAATGTGTAATCATGGAACTATGTTTAATTGAATTTGCCGGAGAGAAGGCCACAGGCTGTCGCTGCATATGTTTTGAATAATTAGTCTTTAATATTAATGGTTTTAATGCATGATTTATGTGGAAACCTTTGCCCCCAGTCTTCAGTTGTGATTACATTTAAACCTTAGAGCTTTTGAGTAAACTACATTCCCTTAAAGACCTTATGACGGGTTTGATTTATTTAGAAATACAGTTTTAATACCATTTTATATTAGAAGAGAACTACTAAAGGTTTCAAAATCAGTTGTTGTTTTTTTTGTCTGATCCCCCCAAATCCAAATAACCCCATAGCAACGCCCTTAGAAACGAAAAAACTTCACAGCCCTTGGTGACGTCAGAACGGGTACGTTTTAACCCTGTAAATTGTTTACAATCTGGTATTCGTTCTTTTTTCGCTGATATTCAAGATGACAAGGCCGTGTACAGCAGGGACGTGCGGTGAGGTTTGTGATTGGGGAGGCACTGACTTTAAAAGTCAGATTTACAATCATTATTCAAATAAAATAGCATTTAATCACCAATGCAATGACATCCACAAACTTTATATACTGTAAAGATAAGAGAACCAGCTTCTTTTAATAATCTCACAACAAATCTAGCTGCTGACTCTGCTCCGCATCAAACAACATCTTTAAGAAGCGCAGGTGCGAGAGACGCGAGGAGAGAGAGCAGAGAGAGACAGAGAGGAGCAGAGAGACGGAGACGCGAGGAGCAGAGAGAGACGGAGACGCGAGGAGAGAGAGACGCGAGGAGAGAGGAGCAGAGAGAGACAGAGAGGAGCAGAGAGACGGAGACGCGAGGAGCAGAGAGAGACAGAGAGGAGCAGAGAGACGGAGACGCGAGGAGCAGAGAGAGAGACAGAGAGGAGCAGAGAGAGACGGAGACGCGAGGAGAGAGAGACGCGAGGAGAGAGGAGCAGAGAGAGACAGAGAGGAGCAGAGAGAGACAGAGAGGAGCAGAGAGACGGAGACGCGAGGAGCAGAGAGACGGAGACGCGAGGAGAGAGAGACGCGAGGAGAGAGGAGCAGAGAGAGACAGAGAGGAGCAGAGAGACGGAGACGCGAGGAGCAGAGAGACGGAGACGCGAGGAGAGAGAGACGGAGACGCGAGGAGCAGAGAGAGACAGAGAGGAGCAGAGAGACGGAGACGCGAGGAGCAGAGAGAGACAGAGAGGAGCAGAGAGAGACGGAGACGCGAGGAGAGAGAGACGCGAGGAGAGAGGAGCAGAGAGAGACAGAGAGGAGCAGAGAGAGACAGAGAGGAGCAGAGAGACGGAGACGCGAGGAGCAGAGAGAGACGGAGACGCGAGGAGAGAGAGACGCGAGGAGAGAGGAGCAGAGAGAGACAGAGAGGAGCAGAGAGACGGAGACGCGAGGAGCAGAGAGACGGAGACGCGAGGAGAGAGAGACGGAGACGCGAGGAGAGAGAGACGCGAGGAGAGAGAGACGCGAGGAACATAAACAATAATTTAAACAAGTTGCAGAACTCTTGAGCAGTGTTTGAATCAGTGTTTTTCGGAAAAGCACTACTTTGCCGGTATCTGTCAATGTTCAACATAAAACACAGATTAACAAACTCCTCCCCCGCAGCCGGACTAACCTCGTAAGTCCAGTGGTGGTCTCCCAGTCTATATTAATTCTTTCTTTGTTTGAAAGTCCAATTGAGAAAAAAAATCTTCATTCAAATCATCCATTTTCCAGCAAAAGAAATAGCATTTTGGGCTGATTGTTTGTTAGCAACTCTGGTATGAACTTTATGCTCACTATCACCCCTAGCGGTGAGGCACAGATACCGCCTGCCTCACGCCAAGCTTTTTCCTTGTGTGTTCATCTACGATCAAAAGACTTAAACTAAATATAAATTGTACACACATACGTGCAATACACTACTAAACACTAAGAGGAGTTTAAAAAATGTTTTTAAAGCAGGATATTTGAAACAAACGGTGATATATCAACTGCACGAGCTGAGTGCACTCAGACACACACACACACACTGTGAGGGAGCGGTCTGAGGTGAGGCACGCAGGAGCGCTGCCTCAC